CGCAATATATTTATGTATACATATGATAACACATAATCTCCCAACAATCGAATGTAATCGAAATTTATACCCACAATTGTGGGTATACACTAACCAATTCACTCGGCAATCATAAAGAAGTAGCGATAACGCGACGCGGTGCACATTTTGGTCAGAATTTGGTTTATCGCGCGTAAACATTCCGCGTCCGCGGAAGAAACATTTATATAACCGCGAATCGTTTGACGCAAATTGTATCTCATTTTGTTGCACGCATTACTTACTCGCGTGCGATCGGTCCTTTTATTTCCCGCAAGTTTCTCTATTTCTCTCTAAAATTCTTTCATTTTCTTTTCTCTCTTGTATCGAATAATTTGCTTTTTTTTGTGAGTTTGATTGAAACCTTAAAAATTTCGAAACTCTCTTACACAGAGTTTTAATTTTATTTAACAATTGAAAATATACCAATTTTTTTAAAGTATAAATTTTTTTTTTAAAAAAAAAGGTATACATGGCAATTTTAATTACGCTACAAGCAAATTAATTTGGCGAATATTTGGTTAAAAAAAAAAAAAAAAAAGAATAAATATCCGTCGAAAAAAACTAAATCTCGCGGGTGTGTGTGTGAGATAATTTAAAAATTAATATTATAAAAAAAATACGGAGAGACTCGCGCTCTTTCTATCAGGAGAGAACGTATCCGGGCGTCGAGTGCGGCTCCCGTCAGGAAGTGCCCGGACATTATCGAAGTTTCGACGTTCGGTCTAACCAAATTCGGGACGTGGAGAACGAGGGCAATTTAGTTACCTGGCGCGTTGACTGGCGCAGCCGACTATTCCAGGTCGTGTGTCGATCGATGTTCATCCACGTAAAAGGGTGGGTGGCGGCGGGTCGAGGGAGCGGATGGTTAAAGGACGGCAGCAGCGGCAGTGGCGGTGGCGGTGGGCGGTCGGGGTTGTAATAAGCGTAATGGACATAGCACCCCCGCCACACACGCATGCCCTCGGTCGTCCTCGCGACGCGTTCGCGCGGCAAAGGGTTGCTTCCTGTAATCGTGAGAACGGCTCTTCCACACTCGTCCCTCATCGTTATTTTTGTCGAAATCACTGCGATTTGAGCCTCGTATCGCTCTGAATTAAGATTAAAATTTTTTTTCTCTTTATGTTTGTTTTTTTATCTTCATTTTCGAACACTTTTTATATATGTGACGTTGATAATTACTTTTATTAATCATTTAAAATATGCGCAAGAGAGAAGAAATAGACAAAAATTAACGTCAAAGTATTATTACGTCAAAGTCTCATATCATCTCTTCAAGTATTTGTTTTTAAAATTCCGTTGAAACAATTTTTGAAGAAAAACAATTTTATATAATTTTGAGAAAATAAAAATCGAAATTATAGAGCGACGCGTTCAGCCCCGCGCCGCGGCAGAAATCCGAAAAGTCTGTGGCGCGGTGACCGCGGCGGAGAATAATTTAGAGGTTGACGTTTCTGTTGCCGATTATACACAACCGTAACAGTCGAGAGCTCGCGCGAAGAGAAGCCGATTTACGCTCGTGGCGAAATGCATCGCGCGAGGTGCACAGCGTGCGCGCTTTCCATTCTCGTGTGCACGTGGCCGCGCCGAGAGCTGTGCTCTGCGCGCACGTATAAACGTCTCTCGTCGTGAGCGCTGCACACGCCGGGTCGTAGGTGTGCGGTGTAAAAGCAGCCCACGCGTGATATATTATGCAGTCCCGCTAAGTGGAGCCCGGAGATGTCGAGCACAAGTAGAGAGAAAGAGAAAGAGAAAGAAAGAGAGAGAGAAAGAGAGAGAGAGAGAAGGGGTGGACTTGAACAGCGTGAGGAACGAGCGGCACGACATAACACGTTGAGCGAGTGCACGCTGAAAAGATGGAGGAAAGAGAGAAAGAGGAGAGAGGAAAAGAAAGGGACGAAGGAGAGACGAGCGCGGAAAGGAGAGAGGGCGCGAGCGTAACTGAAACGAGAGCGGCTGTATTAAGTGCGCCTATAGATTACGGCGCCGGAAAAAAGTAGAGGCGCATCCCGCTAAAACGCTTCGGGAAAAAAAATTACCCTATGGACCCCATACGTCATCCTCGCGGCGCTCTCGAGCAAACGCGCTCGTATGCGCATACACGCGACCCGACGACACACGCGTGTATTGGTGTCATTTCTGGTCGGGCGCGAGATGCCGTTTTTCACGGAGAAAACTTCGTCGGCGCCTTTTTCGATCTCTCCCGACACATCATGGGTCTTTCTCTCTCTCTCTCTTTCTTTTCCATCCCGATAAGAGTTCTCACGGGGCGTGGAAAAGTAGTTCGCGATTTATATTAAGCAGCATCATCGTGCGCGCGCGCGTCTTGATGGAAACAGATTTCCAGCGATTTTGGAATAAATTTTTTTTTCGAGAGAAAAGAAGAAAAACTTCTCGGCAAAAAAAAATGTAACATTTACAATAGAAAAGGGTATATTAAAAACAAACACACACAAACAAGCGCGTATCGCAAAGCGTTATTTTTATTGTGTGTTACATGATATATTACATATATATATATATGTATATATTTGTAATAGATTAGCTTTTTTCTTCGCGTACGTGAAACGCGCGCAAACGGTGCGAAACGAAAATTTCGACGCGCATCGCACACAACAACGCACCGCCATGGCACTCGATAGAAACTGTTTTTTTCTCTTCGCAATAAAATAGAGTCCGCGTATTCCACGTGAATTTCTTTGATCATATACTTTTAATTTAAACGCGTCGCAATAATATATATAACACGACGCACGCATACACGCACTTGCCGCGTTCTCGGAACATATTATTCTAAGCAATCGGATCCTGCGATGCGCGTGAAAGTTCTCGCGCGAACGATGCGTGTGTGTGTGTGTGTGTGTGTGATGTGTGTTGTAAGTACGGATCGACTCAACAAAAACAACGTTGCTGAAATACAAATTATATATTTTTCGCGTGCAACGATTTCTCGTGTGAAGAATCGTTTTTAAGTCTAAGCGCGTGTGTCTTTTTGTATTGTTATATAAGCTATCATAGAAAAATATCGCTTTTTCTCTTTGTTATTACAGCGCGAATTATGTCATACTCGCAAACGTCAGCGCAAAAGCGACGGTAATTATGAGCTCACTCAAAACGTTGCGATTTAATTCAGCTACTAATCGTATCTATATTATAAGTGAGAGATTGCGAGATTAACTCTCTTGCGAAAATTTTGCCAATTTTTCGTTCGCGCTCTTGGAAACCCCACGGGGCTTTTACGAAGGCAAAAGTTTCGCGCAAGAGTTTACTTCGTTACATCTGTTATAATATATATTACTATTATATTATAATTTATATTATACGTATATATTATTATATATTATAGTACATATATATATATATTTTACTATTATTATTATAATATATATATATATATATATATATATATATATATTATTTATAACATCAAACGCGTGAGATGTTCATGATTCCCATGTGCGTTCGATTATTGTAATTCTACAATTGGTAAATATTTACTTACATTTACGTGTATACATGTATGTAGTCAGAAAATCCACATGTAATAATGTTCAAGGCAATATTTTCTATCTAAATATATTTGGAATAGAGATAAAAGATACATTACAATTTACATTAAATATAAATAGATAGATACATTTGTGCAAACGAAAAAAATTTTTGATGTTGATTAAAAAATCCGAAATTCACTAGAGAGAAAAAAGAGAGAGAGAGAAATATAACTTGAACGTATACTCGAATGTTGAAGACAGAGGAGAGTCGAGTTTGACAAAGAAAATATTGCCGAATTATCACATTTCTTTTCTGAAATATTCCATACAATATGATACATCACTTACAATATAAATTGCATTGGCAGGACATTGCACAAATGCATGTGTTGCAGCCACGAAAACCAGTACCTCTCAGGTTAACAGGCACCGATTGCGATATTTTACAAATATCAAATATAATTGAGCGATAATATGTTTTTTTAGATTTATAAATTTCATCATAAATAACTCGGTAACTGTAAAATTTCTTCCAAATGTGAGACGGTATCGTGAAATATCAGATAGAAAAAAAAAAAAAAAATTCTTCACGGTGCACGCGCGAAATAGAAATAATAATTTACAACTCACAAAATTGATTTTCTCTAAATTCAAAAACTATTACCGGATACACGGTTTACGTGGTTCACATACAATCATCTCATCGCGAACTATATTTTCTCTACTTTTCTACATATATATATATATCGGGCCGTAAACAAACCACGCGATCACTACGTCAGAAGGCCTATTCGAAGACACATTCTTTGCACGATACACATTGGCACGCGTGTGGGAACGGACGGTAGTAAAAAATATTTATAATACAAGATGTGTGTGTGTGTGTTTGTGTGTGTGTAATCATAATATATATTAATTGCAACTATATAGGATCTACATTAAAGACGACTAGATTCACAGATAATTCGCGCGTTTGTTTTTCCTTTCTCGATTGGTACGATACTTTTCTTCGTCGCGAACTTTTTTCAAATTCTCGGCAGAGCTCGCACTTTTTTGTGTATTTTACAAGAGACTTGCGCGATCTAGACTTTGAACAAACAAATTATATATCGTTTTTCTTTTTCTCTCGCGTCGAATAACTTAGCGGCGAGGGAGAGCTTGTTCTGCCGAGAGTTTTGCACTTTTTATTATTTAGCAAACGCGACAAAACCCTATACATCGCTCGAAATGATGAACTCACGAGAGCGCGGCGTGATAACTTTGAGTATCTACTTACAGTCTAGCTTAAATTATCCGCGTGTGATCGCCCCGTGTGATGTTTATTGTCGTCATTCGTTCGCCGAGACGACAGGTAATTTCGACAGGTAATAGTCGCTACTGAGAGATGCAACGGAGAGAATAAATTATTCCGCGCACATTTATCACGGATGTGCTATAGTTCACTCAAAAGAGATCGGTTAATGTCGCGTTGTTTTTTTTATTTTTTTTTATATTTATTTTGTTTTTTTTTCTATTTATATATAATTTAGTTTTTATCTCGGCTATATTTTTCGAAATAAATATATCGCCATTTAAATGAGCACTTCGCGCGTTATGTATAAAAAAATCATCGAAATTCTACAATATGCATTTTTTCGCAAAAAGTTCTCATAAAATTCATAAAACATTGTTAAAAGATTATCGATTTGAAATTTGATGCTCACACTGAAAAATCTCTCAAATCGACTGAGAAAAAATTTCCATCTGTATCTCGTAATAATATCTGCAGAAGTGAAATGGTGTATATATGTGTGTATATATATTGTAGTCAGAAATGGTGTACATGGTGGACTCGGAAATAAAGCAGAATATATAATCCGATTGTGTCATCGTGTTGCGACTGTAAATAGGCGACCAAAAACGGTTTCGGATAGGAAGCACTGGTCTAAGTCTAAATTAACATACGTATTTTTTGTTCGCGTTATTTTCGATTTAAATTTAATCTCACACCGGCGATTTTATCGCCGAACTCGAAGAAGGAACGCGCGCATTGGTCTCTCTCTCAAAGAGGAAATTAACATTCTCGAAATTCTAAAATTAAACGCAGTGACGATATGACTATACAAATAATCGCATTTTGAGAAAATTTCTTCTCCTATTCGGTTTTTTTTTTTTTGTTTTTATCTTAATATCGTAGAAATATTCTATTCAACATCTACGTTTTGTGGTTAGTTAACATAACGATCGATCAACGGATCCGGATGCATGCGTAGCGGAGATTTAACGATTTAACTCGTAAGACGACGGAATTGAATTTATTTTAGCGATGTTAGCGAAACACGACGGACTAGACGTTATTCTTCAGCAAACGCACCAGAGGATTCAATTTACCCTCGTCGGAATTTCTGTACTGTTCCAGCAACTGTAAAATCAATGTGTGTGTTTATTCAACGGTTGTCAAACGTTGAAGCGCAACGTATTGAGAGATAAAATCGTCTTCGACAACGACCAAATGAGATTCGAGAACGCAATTGTATCTGTTTTTTTCTCAATTCATTTTTTTTTTTTTTTAAACATTTTTGTGAAGCCAACCGAAACTTTTGTGGTACACGTCAATCTTTTTTTTCGCAGAAAACAGATTTTTTTTGCTCAAACGCTCTGACAACACTACTCGACATTTCGTCGACAATCGTTCACTTACCTCGTACGACATTTCGCAAGACAATATCGCCATCGCCTCGGGATTGTTGTGCGTGGCCGCCAGCAACGCCGGCAACGTGTACGGTATCAATCTGGGATCCCCGTAAAAAGGAAACGGCAAGGTGCACAATTGCTGAAGAACGCTAGGACCCGCGCCGGCCGACTGAAGAACCAGCTGCAACAGATTTTCCCGAAGTACAGGCTATTATTTGTCATCTTCTCGAAGCGCAACAGTCTCGAAGAACCTTGTTCGTAGACAAAAATTCGCAAATGGGCAGGTCCGTAAAAAAACAAAACAACGTAGAAAATCGCGCGCACATTCGCAAGTTGCAAGTATAATACATTCAGCCGGGTATAAACAAAGACTTGTCCGGTAAACCGGACGAGGATTCTAATTACAAATCACCCGCATGATGCTCGAAACGGAAACTCGAAGACTACGACTCGATTAAGGTACGACCGAGCAATTTTCTTAAAGAGCGTGAGAACTCCGAGAAGGTGACACTCAGGTGTCGCGGAAACCTTCACCCCGCGAGAAGACGTCGGACATCTGCGTCTATAGTGCCGCCGCGTTGAACGTCGCACACCTGCAAGCAATTCTTGCAGGAAATGCCCACATTTTTTTTACGCATCTCCTCCGGGGCGCGTCATGCAACCCGTATTTTTTTAAGTTCTTCCGCGTTTAAGTGCCTGCGATCATCCTTTACGTTGTTCGTGTATATACGCACAAACGTTTCGCGTATTATCGCTGACGGTAATAAAGTAACTCGCTGATTGATTTTGCGACGAGATTATTTACGAAGGATTACGCGAGTTTTCTGACAAAAACTTAGGTGTCGCATCAATTCTTCATTGTCTGTACACGGCTCCTTAATTGGATCGGTAACGACCGCGATATTCTGCGAAGGACGCGTTTTTCAGACGTTACACTTTATTTAGATTTGCGCTATTTTTAGACAAACTTAAGTGAAGACAGTAATAAACACAACTTTCCACACACGATGTATCTTTAGTTCGAGGCGAGTATGTTGTATCCTGTGCGCAATTATATTCTCGATATTACGATAGATACAAAAATAAGCGTTTAACGACGAGCAAAGCGAGCAAAGGGTTGGTTAATGAACCGGGACTGAAGTGGAAAATAAAAGAAAAGCAGTAAATTATATATATACAGGGGCGCACCAACCGCGGCGCCACCGCAAAAAAATCCATTTCTCGAATTTGGTTACGACCATCGACAAAAAGCCCAAAGAGCAGACGTGCGTGTTTATGATCGCGAACGAAGAAGGTGGGTAACACACACACACACATCTCGCGTCGAGGCGCGATAACCTTGGCTGCCGCAGATGCTCGTACGAGCTTAAAAGCGTCTCGTTTCTTCCATTTTCTCTCTCTCTTTCTCTCGCGGGGAAGACGATTTTCCCGAGGCAGTTACTCTCGGAGGGTCGGCTCTTGAGAGCGGCGCCTTAAAAAAGCGCTGAAAGACGAATGCGCGACATCGGCGGTGCACTCAGCGTTACATCCCCGATTCATGCATTCGCGGGATCGATGTGTGTGGACGCGCGAGGAGGATCGGTGCTGCTGCGCGGTGGCGGTCTTTTACTTCAGAGTTTTTTCATCAATCTCTCGCGGGTATAAGTAATCTCAAATTGAAAAATGTTAATAAACTCCGAGGAACGCGTGAAACCTTGTTCGAAAAAAAAATGCATCTCTGTTCCGTTTTCGTTCTCGAGAATTTTGTGAAGACAATTTTCAAAGAAAACTACCTATATATGTAGTTCAACGTAACTTTGAAATTTTTATTTACAATAATCCAGAAATATTTCAAAATTAATTAATATTTTATAATTAATTTACATATATCTCGGATGTAATTCTTCTATTCCGCAAATTTTATTGTCGAAATAAAAACGAAAACTAAAATTCAAAATCCAATTTGCGACGGCGGTAAAGCCGCGTCGAAAAGAGACACAATGCGCGTGTACGTATATATATATATATAATTCTTAATAAATCTATTTAAATCCATTTTCTCAGATATCAGATTCGCTCTAACGCGTCGCGTATATAAATTAGTTGAGTTTCCACGCGACTTCGCGATTCTCGCTGATGGGCCCGCGCACGTGACAGAAAGATCGCGCGCGTGCACGCGCGTCGGGAGAGACGTATGGAACGGAACGTCGTAAATATATCTTTACGGCGTTCGGCCGTATATTGATGGGAGGTCCGCTGAGTGTGTTGTGTCTAACAGCTTCTTCCTTCTCGTTGGTAAACGCGCGTTGCACGCCATCCAGCGCATTCGTTTCACGCGGAACGTACCGGGTGACTCGAGTTATTATTACGGTCAAAGAAAACTAGAGCGAGAATTGAGATGAAACGAAAAAAAAAAAAAAACGGCTAAATACGGCGTTAACGTCAAAAACGTGAGAAAATTTCTCGCCCGAAAAATCACTACGAGATTCGACAATATATTTTCGCGGAAAAAAAAAATTGGTTTCTTGCGAGGAATCCGCTGCGAGTAATAATAATAAAATATACGCATACCTGATTGTCCGGATTGTTGAGAGCAAAATAACCGAGCACCACGAACAACGTCGATAGGATGTGAATACCGCTCGCGTTCGGCGGTGACCCCGTTTCCTTGTTGTCTGATAAGGAATCTCGGGAAAACCGAGTTATCAGATGACTCGCTATCAGGCGCCACTGCAAGCTCGTGCCTTCGGCGCCCAAGAAACTCTGCAATTATGTGACAAATGATTCTTTCTCGCATACTCGAAAGGCGCGCGTAGTTTTTTATTTTTTTTTTTTTCAATGCGCGCTCTGCAAGTATTAAAAAAAGATTAAATAACGAAGCTTATTTCTTGTTCAATATTTTACATCAATAATCGCTCGCTCGCGCGCGCGCGCGCGCACTTTAAAAAGCTTGAATTAATAAAAAATTCATAAACTCGATCGACGAATAGAAAGACTCTCTTTTGTAATACTATCGCCGCTAGCTTACACGTAAATCCGATGTAGAGTAACGTGTTCAATGGCGCTTAATACGGGGGTATCGATATAATTCTCCGCTCTTCTCCTTCCTTGACCTTAAATTACCGAGAGTTCCTCTCCCAAGGTGGATCCTTGTTAAGCCCGTTGAAATCTAAGACGCGCTTTCATCCCGTGGTGGCGAACGGCTTTTGTCGCGGCTAAAACCGCAACTCGCAAGGACCACAGGCCCAAAGAGAATAGATAATAAACCCGTCGGTTGTTTTTACGCGCAAAACAAATGCACGCGGGGGTTCATCAGGGCCGTTTCCCGCGGGATAATCGACGGGCGCTCCCGCGGGACCGCCACAAGGGGGGGCACGGGCCCTCCCGCGGGGGGCAAACCGGGATATAGCCCTTATGGTTTTTGCGGGACGGGAGAGGGCGCGAGAGACGGCGCCGCCCCGATTCAATTCGTGGTCGGCAGCTCTCGCTGCCCCGAGAGAACTTGACGGGAGGCCCTTTTACCGTCTTGACAGGCGAACCCCCCTCGCGCGATACATGATATCTCCATCACGCACTCCATCGGCGCCCTCCAACGATAAGCCGCATTGTTGGCGGCAACAAGCGGCGGCGGCGGCATCCTTGGCAGGGTGACGCGCCGGGGGAGCGAATCGAAGACCGCGTTGCGAATTAAAGAGTAATGGAGCTTATGGCGAATCTAATGCGTATTTCGACTCTCTTCTACATACTTGAATTATTCGAGATACCTAAAAATATCGACAACTTACCGAGATATATCGGTTTCTAAAGTGAATTTGTGTGTGTGCGCGAAGATATATTTAGCGGAATTATATCTACACAACCGTGCGTCAAATTACAGATTATATTTTTATCGCAAGTTAATGCGCGCGCGCGCGCTAATTGCAACTATCTATTAATGAGTCTATATTTCGAGCTGAATGCAATTTTCATATCGAATGAATAAATTTCGAAATGAAACAATGCGGATATAGCGCCAAGTGTCTGAGAAACGTGTCGAAATTGGAGCGGAATTAATTTTATATCGGAGCGGAATGCGCGCACATTCGCGTTGTTGGAAACGCGGAAGGATAGGAGTATAATGATAATCCGAGAGTGCCGAGAGTGCGAGTAACAACTCGCAGCTCTCGAAACTGTTAACATCCGTTCAACATAAACACCAGGTATATCTAAATCTATGCGATATTTATTTGTATCGAAATTTTACTCAGCTTTATATTTAAATAATATAAATCTCGTTTTATATTCGAAATCAAAGTAGTCGTACGTACCTGTAGCGATCGAAGATCGAGCTCGGCGATCGATTTCAGAAGCTCGAGTCCGCGACCAGCCAGATTCCTCGCGGCGGTCGTGAACGCGACTTGGTTCGGCGTGGGCGAGGCTCCCTTCTGATTCTGCGGCGTGAACGCGACCGCGGCGTAAAGCGCGCCGATCGCACCCGATGCCTCGGTCGCCGACAAGGTCGAAAGCAAGTGCGACTCGTTGCTTGTTTGCTCGACGTTGTTGTTGTTGTTGCTGCCGCCACCCTCGCATCCGTGGTGCACGCTGACATTATCTTGATCGACGCCCGAGACGACGCGCCTCAGATGGCCGCAGATACGCGATAGGAGATCGTAAGACGATACAAGCACCGGCGACTCCTGCTCCTGATGATCCGGAAAAAAATCCGTCTCGATCAGGGCGCGACTGTGGCGTGACACGCGATCCACTAAGCCGCCCGCTACCAGATATCTGAGGAAGCACAAAAAAAGAATTCTCTCGACGCATATATTATTACTTTAGCGACGTATATAAATGTATACACTCTTCGGAGAAAAGCTCGCGCTTTTTCGTTTTTATCTCCTCGGATCCTCTTGTACGTCGCGCCGGACACGTCGAGCCGAGACGTGTCCGAGAATGTTTTTTTTTATTTTTATTTTTTTTTATTTTTTTGGAATTTGTGAATTTACCTCTCGACTCTTTTTTGCACAACAAAATTTTTTTTGCGGCAGCTCGAAAAAAAATCACTCGTCTATGAGTGAGAAGAGATCGCGAAAAATGAATTTGAAATTAATTTGCGCCACAGCGCGTCGCGATTATATAAACTTTTCGCGAGGAAACACCGAACGAAAATAATTCTCTTTAGACGAAAGAATATTCATATTTCGAAGCTTGCGATGTGCAAACGTTCACCGCGTTTTTTTTTTTGCTTTAGTTATTAAAGCGAAGATTGAGAGAGTGTGTGTCAAGAGAAACAAAACCCTGAAGAAGAATGGCGCCGATGATGGAAGCGCGTAAATCTATCTTTGCGTTTTACTCGCGGAAACAATCTATATTCTAAATGGAGAAACGAACAATTCAATATTCAAACGCGACAGGCCGTCGACCCCCCCCCCCGTGTCGTCGTCGTCGCCGACGAAGGATCGCACTTCGACGTTATTCTCGACAATCGGCGCTCGTCGATCACCGGACGATCATGCGGCAGCGAAGTGTGCATATGGATGGTGCGCTGGAAGGGAGATGAAGGATAAAAAAAAAAAAAACAATGTATTGCTTACAGGACAGCATGTGCGACGGCGTAACACGAGAGGATTATAACATCAGTGCGTATAATTCCGAGCACGTCGAGAGAGCAAGAGAGACAAAACAAGAAGAGGAGAGAAAGAGAGAGAAAAGGGGAAGAGACCGCTATGATGGGATCTGGGAGGGGTGATCGGAGGGGGGCTGCAAGCGTCGGCGCACGCGATGCTCATTCTATCGGGTTGTTGTATGTATATGTTTTCCTTTCTCGTAGAGGAGCAGCATCCCCTTTCGCGCGCGCAAGCCCGAGGGGGTGCGTGCCTGTCAGCGCGTATTATCGCCACCCTCCCCCTTCGACCCTTCACGGCAGAAACCCATACAAACGCTCGCTCGGAGAGAGAGAGAGAGAGAGAGAGAGAGAGAGACCCGCGTCAATGAGTATTGGAATATATAATACACGGAGAGCAAGTGCACCGCCCTTTTCGATACCGCGTTTCGTTCGAAGAGAGGACCAACTGTCGCGTCTAATCATAACTAGCTGGCCGAGCCAATCTCGCTGGTTTCCGCGCGCGAGCACTTTCGCGTTATCCGATTTCGGAATCTCCGATAGAAAAAGCTCGGCTCAATTTTGTTGCATCTTGAGAAAATTTATTTATTAGCGAAAAACAAAAATCGCACCGATGCGCGTTGCGCTTTTGTTTCACGAGAGAGAGAGAAAGAGAGAGAGAGAAATTTTACAAATAAAAAGATAAATTCCATAAAAAAAAAAACATTTTATGACACATGTTGAGAGAGATAGAGAGAGAGAACAAAAGTATCAAATGCAAAATCTGTTTTTATTCCGCGCGACATATAACGCTCTAAGCTCGTTTTCCCGTTAAAGCGACAAATACAATGGACGAACACGAACCCCTCGCGTACACCGTATTCGCGATGGTATTGGCGTCGAGAGAGAGCAAATTCGCTAATAAAATGCAGCGGAATGATCGCGTTGGATTAGGAACGCGAATTAGAATCGCTCGACACGTAACTACGATTGCGCGCCGGATTACATGACGTATTTCTCTCCCTCCCCCCTTTCTCGCCGCTAACCTGCAACAACACAAAGCGACAGTTGGGAACAAGGGAGACGACCGTGTGTCACCTCGAACGCAATAATTTTGCATGATCGAACGAGACTCCCTCCCTCCCTTTCCCCCTCCCCAATCTCTTGCCAATCGTTGCACCGTCGCTCGATGCGAGATTCACTGTCTGTGAGAGTCAGTCGGCGATCTTCAAGGATCGCTCAATCTTTTAACCCTTTAACGGAAGAAGGATAAAAAAAAAAAAAACCTTTCGAACCGAGTTGATTCCATTCACTCGCCTGGCCCGAAACATTGAATCATACTTTCATAATCATGCAATTGAGGCGGTATATGCCAGTCGATTTAGCTGATAGGGGGATTGGACCCGAGATCCAGTTCCGCGACCACAGAACCGGCCAATTTGGCGCGATGGCGCGCGGGTCCTTTCTCAGCAAAAACGTCGAGGGGATGCGTTCATACTTTACTCTTCCCTAAAGTTCAATATTAGATCATCCTCGTGTGATTATTAGATCACAAATTATTAAAAACCAAAAAAAAAACTATGTTTTGTTAAGCGCAATATATATGTTGCGCTTCGTTCACGGATACTTCGTGAAATTCAACGTGCGATAGAGATGCGAGTGGATGTCGAGCAAGTGGAAAAAAATTACATCACAGTGAAACGAACAATTCCGCGCGCAATCCCACGTTTTACATCTGCGTTTTACATCAACATAAGTGAAGATATATACTAATGTTACTCCCTCACCACGAGCTGTAAAATAAAAGCTGTAACTACTATTAGCAAGTTAATTAATCATTCGGGTGGACGTGAAGGCAGTTATTTGAACTGCCCAAAAATTCCCCAAAAAATTTCCCAATCTGTCATTTACCGACACATCTCTGGAGGAAGAGGAGAGGGAGCGCACCGGAAAGATGTGTCCCCTCGATCTTCGTGCGCGTTCGTCTCGGAGGGGTGCATCGCGCCGCCGCCGACGACCCGAGATTGCGATCTATCATTGAATGTTTGCGGGGGGTCAAAATACATCGAATTTATTTATTATCCTCTCGTCCCGCCCCCTCCCGCAGTATGCAACCGCGTTACGCGCGGAACGCGAGGGTGAACGACTGAGAGAGAGAGAGAGAGAGAGAGAGACAGCTACCCCCGGAGGCTGCCATTAGCTAACCATATGATTATTTCATAGCGAGCTCGCGAGGGTGCATATCTTTACGCTCGTCTCCGCATCCCTCCGCGCGCGCGCGCGCACTCCCGCGCGCGACTTAGCAGCGGTAGCTTATGCGATTTGCCCGCTGTTACCGCGCCGAGTGCACTTTACGGAACGGGAAAAGGTCCGCGGGAGATACCCTCCCGAGAAGGGTAATCGGATGGATGGCTCGTAATTTGTGTGTCGTGTCCGAGATTATACGAGAGCGCGCGCGCGCGCGCGTCCTGCAGTTTCCGGTGTTTTTACGGTGTTGCGCGCGTCAACACTCGACCATCTCGCTTTTTTGTACATAATTCCCGTAACGGTCGCGTAAAAACATCTTTTGTTTATAATATAATGAACAAACACGCGCGAGTGCACAAATAAAGAATTATCACTTTATATATTACATTTGCTATGTGCAAATGGTCGCGGCAATTGCGGGATTTGCGCGGAGATTGCGCGTCGAAAACTAAATGTCACCGAGATTGGAGTACGTTGTTGTTGTAAGTGCTACACACACGCGTCTGTAAATCATCGGGCGATAAAAAATATATACAGCTTGACTTTGACAAACGGGACGGAAATAAAAAATAAACGGAAACAATTTTTTCTGTTAATTCGAGCGAGTAACCGCGCGACGCGGTTTTCCATCTGAAAGCTCGGAAAATTGTCGCAACAAGTTTTTTCGCGCGGGAAACGCGCGTGAATCATACGCGAGAGAGTTTGCGCTTCGGAATTAATGTTGTAAATCAATCAGGATATGATTTGCGGCGAACGGAGCGTACAGCTGCTGGAAATACGGAATGCATCATCATGACGCGCGCTGAGGAAAGAGAGAGAGAGAGAGAGAGAGAGAGAGAGAAAGCGCGCGCGCGCACAAAAGTAGAATAATTGCGACATTTATTATCCCGGATTGACAAAGAGCGACGGAGCAATAAATTTCGCGAGTATTTCGATGTTATTTTCAAACAAATTTGTCTTTTTGAGGGTTAACAATATTGTCGCGTTTAACGTGTAAAAAAAAAAAAAAATTTTTTTATAATATTAACCGCACTTGAAAAATCCCATCGGAAGAATAGCTGTCCGTCGCTGGAATAACGGTGGTAAAATTCTCAACGTGAGGATATAAAAGTGTTTCTCTTCAGCGCGCCGGACAAACGTGCCCGGGACAGAAGTGCCATTTCGCTATTTCGACAATAGAGCATGTTTGCGCAACGAAATGGCAGAAGTGTGTAAATGACAGTCGCGTATCATTGAGTCATTGAGTTGGAAAAAAAGCGAGAGAGAGAGAGGAACGGGGTACCTACTACCGCGTAGTCGGGGCGGCTATTTGGTGTCGCGCGAAAACTTGTTCGCTATTTCGACCCTTCAAACCGTATAAAAGCAGACACAATTTATTTATTAAGTAGAGAACACTACAGGCGCGCGCGCGAGCGCGCCATCGATTTTACGATACATATATTTCCGCACGTTGTTTCAAAATTAATTTCACCGAAATCGCAACAAATCGTAACGCGCGTATAATCCGCGAACTGTCAAAATCCGCGACGCAAATAGCCGAAAACTAATAAGCGTCGCGGAAAAGCGACAAAAAATTAACAAACCAATCGAGAGAGAATCGACTTTAATTCTTAACTCGCTCACGCTCATTCGATTTGCAAAACAATGTGTTGCAAATTAATCGATATATTATAGCGAGCTGCGAATAATGTAATTAATTAATATCGCGGACAATAATTTTTTGCGCGATAATTTTATTACATAAATAAATAAAACTTTTTTTTCAACGCACTTGAAGTGACTATGTCGCTCAAAAAAAAAGCGAGCGCTTTCTTTCTGTCCTGATTTTAAAACACTATATCGCTCGCGCGCGCGCGCGCGCGTAGCGCGATAGTGTTTTAAAATCTCTCTCTCTCTCTGTCTCCCTACGAGTTTGTATTAAAGACCAATAAGAGAGAAC